CGACCACCAAGAAAGTCTTGCCATGCACAGGCCCGGCCAGGTCGATGTGTAATCGTGACCAAGGGGCATTGGCACTTTCCCACTTTGTGGGTGAGGCTGCTGGTGGGGCTGCCCTAGATTCCTGACAGGGTTTACAGTGGCTTACCCATTCTGCGATCCATCCCGGGCCACCATACGTAACTGCGAGCCAATGCCTTCATTCGCACGATACCTGGATGGCCCTCGTGCAGTACCTTCAGTATGGGCATGCGAAGAGTGGATGGGATAACGACTCTGGTACCCCACAGCAGGCATCCCTGGAGTTTTGATAGTTCCTGTTGACGTGTTTTAAATAGGACAAAGTCAACTGAACACTTTGTTTCCGGCCACCCCCTCCCCACCCAGTCCAGAACCTGGGCGATTGTTTTATCTTTCTTGGAGTGTGCCGCGATGTCATCTGCAGTCACAGGTAGCTTAAGTTCGTTGACTTCGAAGATCGCGTGCACTGGAGCTGGGTCTTCAACTGGGGTCGGCAAGGGGCAGCGGCTGAGAGCATCTGCGTGGCTTAAAGTCTTACCGGGGCGATAGACCAGCTTGAAGGAATAGGCCACCAGGAACAATGTCCATCTGGTCATCCTGGGGGACAGAACCTGTGGAGTTTGCCTGTCCCCCGATAACAGTCCCAGAAGTGGCTTGTGGTCGGTGATGAGTTCGAAGTGGTGGCCAAAAAGGAATTCGTGGAATTTTTTGACTGCCGCTACTGCAGCCAGAGCCTCCTTATCAATCTGGCTGTAGTTTCTTTCAGTCATGGAAAGGGTCCTGGAGAAAAAAGCAATTGGCGCCTCTGTGCCGTTGGGAAGTCTGTGACTTAGGACAGCTCCAATCCCGAAAGGGGATGCGTCCGCGGCCAAAACCAAGGGGAGGCGTTGGTTGAACTGAATTAAAACGGCATCAGAGGTGAGCAGAGATTTGATCGCTTTAAATGCCTGGGATTCCTTGGGGCCCCAGTGCCACGGAGCGTCTTTATCTAACAACCTGTGTAAAGGTTCAGCGACTGAAGCTTTGTGTGGTAAGAATGAAGCGTAGAAATTTAATAAACCCAGGAAGGCTTGTAGTTCCGTTTTATTGGTAGGTGTGGGTGCCTCGTGGATGGCTTTTACTTTTGACTCCACTGGTGGATGCCTGAGGCGTCTAGTCTATATCCTAAAAAGTCCACCTGTCTAGTGGTGATGGTGCACTTCTCCCATTTGAGTTTGAGACCATGCTGTCTAAACTTCTCCAATACAGCCCTCACCCTCTGGAGGAGCTGGGGCCTGTCCATGGCTGAGACCAAAATATCATCAAAATAGGGGACTACTCCTGGAAGGCCTTGGAGAATTCTCTCCATTAGTGACTGAAAAATACCCGGGGCCACGCTAACGCCAAATTGGAGGCGTTTGCACCTGAATGCCCCTCTATGTGTTACTATGGTTTGCAAATCTGCTGTGTGGCTGTCGACAGGGAACTGTTGATATGCCTGTGACATGTCTAGCTTGGCAAAAATGGTGCCGGGTTCGAAAGTGTGCAATAGGTGCTGGATGACTGGAACGGGGTATGCGCTAACCTGGAGATAACGGTTAAGTGTCGTCTTGTAGTCAGCACAAATTCTCAAACTACCGTCCTTTTTTAGTGGGGTGACTATGGGGGTCTCCCACTTGGCGAAATCAGTGGGTTCAATTACCCCTTGTTTGAGAAGTTTGTCTAGTTCCGCATCCAATTTGGGGTGGATGGCGAAAGGTACTCTATGGAATTTCAGGCGGACAGGAACCGCCTGGGGGTCTACAGAGAAAGAGATGGGTGTGCCATTGTAGCAACCCAGCTCGCTACTGAAAACATCAGAATAGTCGGAGAACAATGTGCCTACGTCAGAAGTTGAGACAGCATGAATCCCTGTAACATTAAGGCCAAGAGAGGGGAACCAATCTAACCCCAAAAGACTAGGGAGGGTACCATTAACCACCACTAAAGGCAAATGGACTTTGAAGGTTTGGAATTTAACAAGGAACTTGCCTTTCCCGAGGACAGGGATGCTCTTGCCTTGATAGTCTCTCAGCGTGAGGTGGCACTTTTGTAGCTGCTTCCTGGTCAGCCTGTCGTGATCCCACCCTCGTCGCCAGTGTTGTGGAGTGAAGGGACAGACGAGGCCAAGACCAGAGCATACAAGTGTAAACTTTATTCAAGGGAATAAAGGGTTGTTGCGTCTGCCAGCTAACAAGGCAGACTACTAGCGAACAACAACGGCTGGCTCTGCTCGACAGCCGGCTTTATAGCCGGCTGTCAAACGGAGCCAACCAATGGGAGCTGCTGATGCTCCCGCCTAAACGGTGGACCTGGTTGGGAACTTCAACCAGTTCCAAGGACATAACAATACCCATACAATTTGTTCAGTTCTTTACACAGCTACACCTTAAGTTACATTGTGGAGTCCTTGGTGTTTTCTGAGCTTGGTTGTTTTCTTGTAGTGTCCTAGTTTCATTACTGAACTAGGTAACTTTCATCAGGTTATAGTCTTTCTTGAATCTTATTCTCCTGTTCAAACTCTTTCCAGGTGATTGCAAAGCAGAATGAAAGTTTACTAGCATTCTGAAAAATATAGAACATGAAACAGCTAAAGCAAGAGAGGACAAGGTACTTGTTCTATTTTCCAAGACCAAGAGAATTTTGTTTGGCTTGCTATATTTCAGCCCATTTTACAGATATTGCATCCTTATTCCCAGTTTGGTACCTTTACTTGCCCGATTCTTTTATTTGATTGTAAAACAAATGAACAGCATTTGTAGCAATCAAAATTAATTTGGTTATGAGCAGCATTCTTCTACTATTTTATTTTTTAAATAGAACAAACTACATGAATGTATATTTTTTAAAGCCCAGTAGTCTTATTTCAAAGAATTATTTTAATGGCTAGTGAACATCTGAAATAAAGGGAAGCATTAATTCAATGATATTTAAAAATGAACCCGTTGCTCATGAGCCAGGATTAGACAATGTGATGGCATATGGATTAATTATTTTTCTTAAGACACTTTCTAAACATTAATTATTAAAGATTTGTTAATCTTACTGAATTTTGTAAATGTCAGAAATGTTCTAAATTATTTTTGCTTACATTTGTCTTTTGCTAAGATGCAAAATTCTGAGGCAGCATCTATCCATGTGTTTGTGAAAAAAAATAATTCCAATTGAGGTTTCCTTTTGCACAGGACTAAACTCAAAGGCTTGAAGCCCAGGGTCTAGGAATTACCATAGCATCTTAAGGCTCAAATATCCATACACCTGCTGAAAAATGTTTTCAAATTACACTTTCAGATAACTGGCATTCAGATACAAACTGTTTGACTAGATGCAACTATTTATGAGATAGCATTCTGTACAAATAAATTATTAAAATCAAATCTAGTACTGTATCTAGTACAAGACAACCCAATTTAAGGAAAAGTTAATGTATGCACAAAAAGTTTAGAGTAAAATAGGTACACTGGAAACAAATGAAGGATGAGGGAGCTAGATATGTTTAAGCTTCAGAAAAGATGACTGAAAGAAAGATGACAGCACTCAAAAACCTACTTCCTAACTGTAAGAATTCTTGACAAGGGCACCAATGATCCAGAATATTAATAAACTTCATTTAATTGCATATGACATCCATGAGCTGCTCTGGACTGGATTGTCTCAGTATGGACATTGGAATTCCTCAGGCAAGAAATTTCTGACTAACAGAAATTCAAGACATTTTTTCATTGATTTGAATTCCCAAATTAAATGTGGTTTCAATAGCCCTTTCCATTCTATAATTCAGTGAATTCCTATGCTTCTTTGGACTTTGATTTTGGACTGGCTTACCTTGTAATTATCTTGACTCTTTTTAGTCCTACAACCTGATTGCCATACTACAACTTTAACTTTGGTGAGCCTTCCCTAATAATCATGTTGTCTACTCCCTGATTTTATAAGTGCATTGCTTATATTCTTGCAACTTTGATTAGATGTCAGCTAACTGATGTGTAAAAGTGACCAGAGAATAATCTGTTCACACAGTTGAATTACATGTGACTTTCCTACCTTCATATCATTATCAAGCAAACCAAATCTAACATGTGCCTTGCTACAAGCATAGACTAGTAATAGTTCAAGCAGAATAATGGAGGACATGATATCGATAAGCTTTTCTGGCCTGGACAGTCTCAGTATGGATACTGAAATTCCTGAGGCAAGAAACCTAGGATAACCCAAAACTATGCCTATGATCACTTTGAGGTTCCAAAAGCAAAAAAAGGAAAATGTTGCTTGCAGCTGTAGTAATAAAAGAGTAAATTTTATTATCAGGCTGCAGTTATAACATGGATTAAAGATTGGGTAAATTTGAATAACAAAAGAGTATTAACAATAGAGGGGCGTGACCTGCAGATTGGTTGGCATGTGTTTATGTGGGAAGGGAAAATGTACTGCACCCATACTTCCAGAGACATAAAGTTAGAGACACCCTAGTATCTGTTTGGATGAGAGTTAAGATAAACCATTACATGAAGATCCCACTTTGGTTATCCACCATGGAGGCAAAGGTGTATCCTAATGTCCTAGATTTAAACAAAATAGTGAGATATAAAGAGTTATTAGATGAACAGGGAGAATTAAAAACCAATCAAGAATTGAAGAAACAAGGGATAAAAATAGACTGGTGGCCATATTTGCAAATTCAAACAAGATATAAGAGAAATATAGAAGAATAATGAATATATAAAGATCAGCAGGAATTAGACAAAATATTACAGGGGACAGATGAAGAAATGATTACCAAAATGTATATTTACCTCTTAAGATACCGAATGGAAGAAGAAATAGTAAAAGAGACTATGATAATTTGGGTGAAAAATTTGGGTTATAGCATCAGTTTGGAATATTGGGGAAAATTATGGGAAGTAAATTATAATTTACCGATGGCACCTACCTTCGGCAAGTCTGGCTAAAATGTTCCTCAAAAGACAGGCAAATTGTTGGAAATATAATTATGAACAGGGAACTTTTTTCCATATGTTGTGAACGTGTTTCCAAGCTAAGAATTATTGGCTCGAAATTAAGAATTGGCTGGAGGAAATTACAAAACAGAAAATTGAACTGAAACCAGAGACATTCCTATTGGGTATATTAAGAGATAAAATTAGTAAGAAATTCCAGTACATTACATTACATATAATAACCACAGCCAGAATTGCCTTTGCCCAGAATTGGAAAATGTGACAATATCCACTCCGACATTATGATAATAAAAAAAGGTTTTAGATTGTGCAAAAATGTATAAGCTTTTGATGAAAATGAAAGAGAGAAGACTCAAAGTACCATGAAATCTGGAATCTATGGTACAATTGGCTACAAAGTAGACATAAAATAGATAAATGAAAAAAAGGTCATGGTAAGATGAAACAATATTATATGACTAAGTATAATTATGTCCAACTATGTATAATTATGTAAATAACCATGTAAATATATGGCTATTTGTTATAAATTGAATGTAAAATAATTGTAATAATATTAGTAATAATTTACATACTTAAGAACATGTTAGTGAAAGTGAACACCACTACAAACATGCTGAAATGAATGGAAATATGTTTTTAATTGTAATATTTGACTAATAAAGATTTTTTAAAATTAAAAAAAGAGTAAAGGAATGGTGGAATCATGAATACTGAATGTTAAGGCCTACTGTTCCGGACTAGCAGGCCTGAAAGCCTGCAACTCGGATTGGTCCGCTAGCAGCGGATCATGATTGGTCGCCCCAGACTGATCCGATGGGCTAGTTAACGGGCTGCCGCAATTGGTCTAACCAAGCGCGGCAAACTCAAATCACTGTCATTGGCTGCCTAGCTGCAGCCAGCCCTATATAAGGGGCTGCTGCAGCTGGGATATTTCGCTCAGATCTGAAGTCACTAATAAAGAGCTGTTGTTGCTCTCTGAGTCTTGTCTCCATTCTTGGACCCATCCTCCCAGATCTAACACCTACAAATCCTGAACCTTTATCCTTTAGTCTCATCTTACTGTGCTGAAAGTCATTATTACTATTAAAAGAAATAATGCACGCCAAACTAAACTAAATTTGAATTAACTGATAAACTTTTTTCATTGAAATAGGCAACTCAGAATTATGCAAATAGAATTTCTCTTAAGACTTGCAGTCATGAGGCTGATTCAATTAGTATTTTCCATCTCTGATTATAGAACTTTATACTATTCCTTTTTGAATGTCTGGTGGTTCAAATGTAATTGAACTAACAGATCTAATAAAGCAAAGGGGAATAATCTAACAATAACAACTGAAATATCTCCTCAAAGACAAGGAAGTGTCTTGAAGTCCACAAGTCCCTGTTATAGCTAAACATTGAAATAAAGGTTAATTTGCTGGCAGCAAAAGTTAATTTAAAAACTCCTCTGTGGAAAAGAGTCACCAAATTATATTGTACAGGCGGCTGATTGGATTGGGAATCAGAGGTCATCATAATTTAGTAGCATAATAATGGAGCTAGTAGTTATAGAAGTACATTAATTACACACCTGAATTTGGTTTTATCTGTATTAATTTATCTTTGTTAACTGAGCCCCAAGCTTGGTCTAAAAATGCTATCTTTGGGCAGCATTAAGCCTCTTTGCATAGCAACTGTCACTCTCATCTCTTTAATGGATTCCAGAAAACACATGACTATTCAAAATATAACTGTGTGTTATCTAGTCATGGTTTTTTAATTGTTCTTCTGATTTAGGAGCAGGAAGAATGGCAAGATACTAATTGAATAAATAAAAGTAAGAATTAGGAGGAAAACAGTAACTATTGGAAAATGTAAACATTTAAATTTAAATATATTATTAGATATTTAATAATATTGAATAATGGAATGGATCTACAATTAATAAAGTCAAATAGCTACCAATATCTGATTGCACTTAAAAAAAAATCCATCTGAGATTAAAGAGCCCAATTAAGAAAAGTGAAGATTTTGCTGGCATTTATTTCTGCTTGTTATCTTGCTTAAATTCCTATTGTTCAAAGAATAAAAGCATACAGTTCTCTATTGAAGAATGATTTAGGAGTCCTAAATCATTCTTTAGGATTGGACATCCATTACCAATTTTGAAAGGGCCTAGCATAGATGTTAAATGGCAATTGATGAGTTGTTAGCATCACTGGAAGGATTGTTTTCAGAGATGGTATTCAGCAGTTTTTCACCAGTTCTGGAGAACTGGTAGCTGAAATTTTGAGTAGTTTGGAGAACTGGCAAATACCACCTCTGACTGGCCCCACCCCCATCTATTCTTTGCCTCCTGAGTCCCAGCTGATCGGCTGGGTCTTATTTTGTTGCCCTGTACAGGATCTGGAAAGCAGGTTAGTGGGTTGGGGAGGGAATGGGATTTTGCAGTAACCCTCCCCCAGGAGTGGGGAGGGAATTGAGATTTTACAGTATCCTCCCCCTGCCATCCCACCAAGTCACTCCCACCAAGCCACTCCCCAAAAATTCCAAAAAAATTGAATCCCACTACTGATTGTATTGATGTCCAATAGAACAGTAATTAGATCCTCACCTAGGTGGGTAGTTCAATGCATTTAAAGACTGTCATCTCTCTAAGTCACCAGCTAAAAACAATCTAATGTCAAAAACAGAAAGGAAATACATCAAATGAGGCACCAGAAGATTTCTGTAATAATTTAGAAAGGGAAAATAGAGTATAGAACTGGCAAGTACATGAAACATATAAGTTCTGAATTAAATCTGATTTATCTAGGATAGAGAATGTTGTGGATATACCAAATCAGAATAAGTAACTCCCAACAAATTTAATATTGATCATACAGTGGTATTAAACAGTAGATAAGGGGGAAGAAAAAGATATGAAGTATAGTTTAACATGAACATTCTTATTGAAATATTAAGAACTCTGGTAACCCAAAGCTGTTAAAATGACACAATATGTCATAGTTTTATCTGTGCAATATTGTCTCTGTAAGTTGCTGCCCTTACACGATAATGTCATCACAAATGTCATAATTTACCCCACTTGTGTCCCCTGAGAATACTTATTATGGGCACTAAGAACAAGCATAAGACAGGACGGGAAAGAGATGCATCTACATTGGAGAATGAAATGGGGCACTCAGACAAAGAAGAGAAAGGGCAGGGACACAACAACTTATGAGCAACATGGGACCAAATACATAACTGGCCAATTTACTATTGAAATGTACCTGGACTAAAGACAAAATATGGAGGAACACATAGAGATTGATCACATTTGAAATGGCATCTCTATTTTCATCAGACAATAACTTTTGTGGACATATTGCTGTTTACTGCATGACTTATTTATTTATTTATTTGACATCTGGCACTATCTGACTGATGAACAGCTTAATGTAAAAGTCATGCTAAAATGAAGTTTTTATTTTCAAACATGACTACTGAAATAAGTCACAGCAGAATGAATAGGAAAATAATCCAGGCCAGGCTAGCATTGTATCAAAATGTGGACAGATTAGCTAAAAAGACATGATCCCAAAGCCACAATTCTTATTGCTATGAATGAAGATATTGTGGAATATATTGTTATTTTCCCTTACAAAAAGGGAATAAAATGAATAATTTTGGACTAATTGAAAATAGATGTACACAGTACAACATATTGTTCTGCTGAGTAATACAACAAGAGTGAGAAAAATGCTAGTCATTTCAGCTCTTTATTCAATTCCCATATGAAGTGAAGATAGAATTATAGCTTCAGAAAGATGAATATTTAATTTCAAATAATCATTTTCTAACCTGTGGTATCCAGATGTGCTAGAACTGTAAGTCTCCAAATCCCTGTTCTGAATTCTGGCAATTTTAGTCCCAATACATTGGGAGAACCTTTAATTACAAAAAAAATAAAAATAGATTTTTCAGTAGGATTATTTCCTTTTTAATTACTATATATTCATTTGATATATTTCATGATAAATATGTGCAATATTTTGAAATCTAAAATCTGTTTATTAAGCAAATGCAGTGCAATCCTTGGCTGCATTAATACAGGGATAGAATCAATAATTAATAATCAATTAATAGAATCATGTGAAGTTCTAGTACCGCTTTACAAAGCCTTAGTCAGAGCACACCTAGAATACTGCATCCAATTCTGTTCACCACAATATAAAAAATATGTTGAGGCTCTGGAAAGACTGCTGAGAACAGCAACAAAACTGAGTAGGGGGCTGGTGGATAAAACTTATTTTACAGTTACAGGAATTGTGTATGTCTAGTCTAATGAAAAGAAAGACTAGGAGGTGACATGATAGCAGTGTTCCAATATTTGAAGGGCTTCTACAAACACAAGGGGGTCAAACTATTTTCCAAAACTCCAAATAGCAACAATAGTTGGGAACTAAGGAAAGAAGCAATGTAGAACTAAAGAAATTTCCTAACAGTGACAGATATCAACCAATAGAATAGCTTGCCTTCAAACGTTGTGGTTTTTCCATCACTGGATGCTTTCAAAAAGAGACTGGAAAACCATTTATCTGAAATGGTATAGGGACTCCTGCTCAAGCAGGGGGTTGGACTAGAACTCCTCTAAGGTTCCTTCCAACTCTATTATTCTATATCAAAATTGTTACTCAAAAAATGGTGAAAAGGATGGGGGTGGAAATAAAGACTATCATAGTACTAAAATCATGAAGTTCATAAGTATTAAAACCTAAGACCTAAGTTCCGAAGACCAGCTGACCTTGCCCCATCCTGCCCCTCCCCTCCTAGGAGTCCCATGCGCCTGATTCTAGGTCTCAGGTAAGTGCAGAGAGACCTTCTAGGCCCAAACAGGGCACAAGGTGGTGCACAGCCTCTCCCCGGTGCCCCTTTTCAGCTCTAGGGAAATGGAGGTGATTGCAGACATTCATTTGGTTTCTTCTTGGTGCTATGATTGTTTTTGGCTTATCAAAAATAAGGCAAATCTGATAAAGTTTGATTAAAAAATAAAATCCAGATATTTCTTTCTTTCTTTCTTTCTTTCTTTCTTTCTTTCTTTCTTTCTTT